TCACAACACAACCAAATAAGGAAACACACTGCAAATGCTCACAACACAAACAAATAAAGAAATGCGCTGCAAAAACAGAAACGTGCTGCAAATGCTCACAACACAATCAAATAAAGAAACACACTGCAAATGCTCACAGCATAACCAAATAAAGAAACGCGCTACAAATGCTCACAACACAACCAAATAAATAAAGAAACACGCTGCAAATGCTCACAACACAAACAAATAAAGAAATGTGCTGCAAATGTTCACAACACAACCAAATAAAAAAAAAGCTGCAAATGTTCACAACACAACCAAATAAAGAATCGCGCTGCAAATAGGCACAGACCACATCGTAAATGTTTAAGGGAACTGCAAAGTGACGAACATGGCTGGGACATGTTTATCAATGTTTGCTCTGAAAGGTGAGATTTTTGTTTATTTTAGTATACTGATCATACAATTCCTTTGCTTTTTCTTCTTGTTTTTAATTTTTATTATTAGCCTAAATAAGCTGACGAAATACACAATTACTGTAACTGTGAAAGCATGTAAGCTGGCTAACTTACTTTACAACTTCCCTAACAAAAGTTAACCATATGGTTTTACTATTAAAATTAATTAATTAATAAATACATTTATTTTGTAAAAAATGTATTTAAAAAAAATGGTTACTATAGTTAAACCATGGTAACCACAAATTAACCATGGATTTACTACACTAACCATAGTTTAACCATGGTATTTGTAACTGTGGTTATACAAACGGTAATCAATACAAAAAAAAACATGGTAATTTTCGCTTTGTTGGGGTAGTTTTGGCATTGTTGGGGTCCTCCCGTTGTGGTCTGTACTTGCGTTTCTGTATTTGTTTGTGTTGTGAGCATTTGCAGTGTGTTTCCTTATTTGGTTGTGTTGTGAGTATTGGCAGCGCATTTCTTTATTTGTTTGTGCTGTGAGCATTTGCAGCGCGTGTGTTGTCAAATTGATGAAGATGATTTCTTAATTTGCTGGTGTTTTTTCTATTTGCATGTGTTTTTTTCATTTGCAGCACGTTGAGCTCTCTCGGCCACCGTAGAAATTATTGCAAAAACGATGAGAACAACATTACAGCTCCAATAATACAGACTTTTAACAGACAATTTAATATAAGTGCTTTCATAAAATTCTAAGCTTTGCATTTCTGCTTTCTCTCAAAAATCGGTCCTTTACACTCAACCTAAATTGTTGCTAAACTCCACAAATGTACCTATACACAGAATTCACTGTGGTTTCTAGCTGAAAGAAAAAAAGAAAAACAACAACAACAACAACTTTTATTCCTTTTCATACAGATTTTACAGGAACACATATACAGTGTATATATATAGACTTACTTTTTTTAATGAAGACTTAGTTTCTTAAAACATTTTACCATTGTGCATGTAAACTATAGTATAAACTATACATTCTGATGTTTGCATCACATTGTCTGTTCCATACTGTATGTGTTGCATTTTTGACATAGTAAACTTGCATGGTAGCTCACCTGGTAAAGCATCACACTTGTCGAGGCCTTGGGCGTGAGTCCTGTGTAACAAAATTTGTGATTAAAAAGCTCAACAATGGCATGGGGGCTTCAGCAAAATGAGTTTTCATATTTGCTTTTGTTAACACTATCAATGAACTGGACTATCAATTCAGTTTAAGGAAGGGTTTAGTGTCTGTGGTTTGTTATTTTTAAATGCAATAACCTTTTAGCACCACTCACCGGACATTTAAATTGCACAGATGTCTCTGTTATTAAACCAGATGTTATTATTCAGTTAGATGGATATGAACATATTTAGAAGTTTTACTTGTAACACATCTCTTCAAACATTTGAAAGTGAAAACTGATTGCAGTTTTCAAGAGGAGTTTATGCTAATGTCCGCTATACACTTAAAAATAAAGATGCAGAAAAGGTCATTATTGGTTCCACAAAGAACCATTCAGTCAAATGTTCTTTAAAGAACCATCTCTTACTTACCTTTTTACAATCTGAAAAACCTTCATTCGCAACAAAGAACCTTTCATGAAACAGAAAGGTTCTTCAGATGTTAAAGGTTCTTTATGGAACCATTTAGACAAAAAATGTTCTTCTATGGCATCGTGAAGCACCTTTATTTTTAAGAGTGTATTTTTGCTTTCAGCAGCAGCAGTATGAATCTGACACATCTGAGTTAATTTGAATTTAGCTAATGCTCACAACACAAACAAATAAAGAAATGTGCTGCAAATGCTCACAACACAAACAAAGAAATGTGCTGCAAATGCTCACAACACAAACAAATAAAGAAATGTGCTGCAAATAAAGAAACACGCTGCAAATGCTCACAACACAAACAAATAAAGAAATGTGCTGCAAATGTTCACAACACAACCAAATAAAAAAAAAGCTGCAAATGTTCACAACACAACCAAATAAAGAATCGCGCTGCAAATAGGCACAGACCACATCGTAAATGTTTAAGGGAACTGCAAAGTGACGAACATGGCTGGGACATGTTTATCAATGTTTGCTCTGAAAGGTGAGATTTTTGTTTATTTTAGTATACTGATCATACAATTCCTTTGCTTTTTCTTCTTGTTTTTAATTTTTATTATTAGCCTAAATAAGCTGACGAAATACACAATTACTGTAACTGTGAAAGCATGTAAGCTGGCTAACTTACTTTACAACTTCCCTAACAAAAGTTAACCATATGGTTTTACTATTAAAATTAATTAATTAATAAATACATTTATTTTGTAAAAAATGTATTTAAAAAAAATGGTTACTATAGTTAAACCATGGTAACCACAAATTAACCATGGATTTACTACACTAACCATAGTTTAACCATGGTATTTGTAACTGTGGTTATACAAACGGTAATCAATACAAAAAAAAACATGGTAATTTTCGCTTTGTTGGGGTAGTTTTGGCATTGTTGGGGTCCTCCCGTTGTGGTCTGTACTTGCGTTTCTGTATTTGTTTGTGTTGTGAGCATTTGCAGGGTGTTTTTTTATTTGATTGTGTTGCGAGTATTTGCAGCACACGTGCTGTCAAATTGATGAAGATGTTTTATTAATTTGCTGGTGCTTTTTCTATTTGCATTTGTTTTCTGAAGTTGCAGCGCGTTGAGCTCTCTTGGCCACCGTACATTTCAGGGTTTTAGTATTACATTGTCATTGCAACAAAATTGTTTTTAGATACAAATTTTACACAGAAAGGGTTAATAAGTGATTTTTTTTCACACTAAAATCATGTTAAGATGCATATTGTTTATGTGCTGTGGCTGTACTATTGAAACAGTGAGTATTTTACAGTTTATGGACTCTTCAGCAAGTGCCTCACTGTATACAGTTTTCTTCTTCTTCTTCTTCTTTTTCTTCTTTATTAAAAAAGAAAAGGAGTGACAAGTCAAAATCAGTTATTATTGTAATCAACATTATGCCGGAAGTGCTGTCGACTAGGCTTATACTGAACTCGGAATATCCCTTTAATATCTTCTATTACTCAACTGATTTGGTTTAATAACTTTCTAGAGTATTCACTTTATTTTTGTCCTAGATTTGATCTTAATCAGGTTGGGAGTTAATACCTAGACACAATTATTTTACTATCTCACTTTCAGATTGTAAATGTCACCAGTCCAGTTACACCACAACATCATAGCAGAAAAAAGCCGGATATTATTTGTTCAGCAGATTCGTAGAAAGAGCCCCTAAAATAAGCCTTTGATATTAAAGAGGATTTGCTGAGGCAATCAGCATGAGTTGGTTTTCTGTGAGTTGAGTTGGCGAAAGCCAGTCAGTGTGTTAAATGACCCAGAAAATCTATAGAGTACACTCATGTCCAGTTGATTGTCTGTGTATCATTAATATTCATTATTCTGCAGAAGCTTGTGTAAAGCAATCAAATCAAATAAAAGATCTCTAGGTTCTAGGGTACATTAAAGTGTCCCTCTTACCCTGTAATTGCACATAAGTACTGAATAATAATGAAAACAGTGTAGTAATATGTGATCCCTACCTGTATTGGAAAATAGCCCTGCTACAGGAAATCACAGCTATGCTATGGAGGTTTTAAAAGGTTCAAATGTCATTCTATATGGATATTTTATCCTCTTGGTGATCATAATTGCCATATTGCTTCTAAAAATACCAATTATTGCTTTGTGTTATTTTGGAGCTCTATAAACTCGTCAAAATTGTGATTGATATAATATTTCAATAGATTTATACATATATGATATTATAATAGGAATTATGTTCACTTTGGTACATTTTCTACACTCTAAAATGTTGTGTTAGGTATGGCTGTTGCCAATGCTTCATGTGGTAGTATCTGAATATATTGGTTATTCAAGTAAAAACTATATGACAGAATTGCCCTGACTACAGGTAACATAAAAGAGCCCATTTAAACAGTCAGATCAGATCTTAAAGCTCCAACGTAACATCTTAATTTAAAAACGTAAGTTTATTATTATTATTATTATTTATTTGGTATCTATATGTAATGTCCATTATACATATTCTCAATATTTAATGCTATATAAAGGTATTTATTATGTTATTCTTAGGCGATGATGCCAATACACTGTAATACAATAGATATGTATTTAATACCCTTATATGTAATACATATACTGGTAATACTTCAATTGTTTGCAATTTGTTTTTTACTCTATCACTCAATTTCGCCTATTACTATAAAGCATTTTGAGTTGCATTTGATATTTGAAATGTTCTTTCAAATGAAATGTATTATTAATAATAATATGCATCAGTGAAATTGTGAATAACTGTAGTTTTAGTTATATAATATTAATTAGACTGTATTATTGCTAACTATACGTCATATGAATCTTTATATGGACCTTTAAAATTGTTATCATTGCATTCCGCTTTTGGCTTATAGACGCTGTAATGTACCGATTTCTAAAACCATACAAATGATGATCCCGGTAATAGAGTGCGTGATGAACTGTTCGTGATTTTTACTCACTCCGGTTTCCTGGCGAGTCCAACGGACCGGCACAATGTCGAAGGAGTTTGCGGAACCAGAGACTTGCAAGACGGGCTCCTCTTCTCGTCCTCCGCGGACTCCGGGCTGGATTGGCTCGCTTTGAGAGTCGGTGGGGACGTAGGTACGAGCTGCAGATGCTGCGGGTGATGGAGGGGAGCTGCCGGAGGATGCTGCGGCTGTTTGGACGGATGCTGCTGCGGCTGGCTTTGACCGTGAGTCGCCGGATGCTGGTGCGGGTGAGCGGCCGGCTGAGGGCTGCTGGTCCGCGGAGATGGGTGGTGATGGTGGTGCGGATGATGGTGGTGAAATTGATGCGGATCTCTCAGCTGACGGTTCTCGCCGATCAGATCCTCAACCTTCCTCTCCAGCTCGTCGATGCGCTGCCGTTGGGTTTGAATCAGACTCTGCTGGTTTTGTACTATAGTGGTCAGTTCTTTGAGATAAAGCACAGCTTTCATTGGGTTATCCAGCAAGCTCTCCATTACTATAATCTCAAAGCTTTAAGCCTGCTGTATCAGGATGGAGTAGGAGTCTTCTGGATGCAGAGAATGTTGCTGTAGCGTGCTGATGCTCTAAGGATGCGAGTGATGGTCCTGATGCAGGGGAGACTGGGGGAGGAGCTGCAGAGGGTGATGATGTCAACGCTCTGGCCAATCACTGAGAAGTGTGTTTGCATGCAATACACACTTTCCAATAGTGACATCAATTTAAAGATGCACTAGAAAGTTGTTTCCACATTAAAAGTTTTACACCTGTCTTGCCTCCTGTGCAGTACATTTTCAAGTCCCCATCGTATTTACCTTAATATAGGCTACCCTTGTGAACCGGAAGTACACTTATAAAATATTTTTAAAATTAACTTATCACATTAAGCGACACCATATTTCAGCTGTAAAAAAAAGAAGGTGTAGTATAGGCTCTTAAAAGAATAGGCTATGCACCAAAACCAACTGTATGTACATTTGTTACCTTGAAATATCAGTTTCAAAATCATTGTGACGATAGCTGATAGCTTCTAATAAGACCAATGTCTGTTTCTTTCACACGCCGGAAAGAAGGCTATAGGGGTATTTTTTTGAATGGATGAGGCAAAGCTTAAATACGCTGAACAGAGTGCTCTTGTGGCAAAACAGCTTATCGTGAACTGACAGCCTGCTATTCTACATGCTTACCAATGAACATTCTTTTTGGATTTATCTATTTTTAGCAACAAATCCTAACAGGTAAGATTCAGTTTACGGTAGGCTACTTCTCATTCATTTCTATGGTATCCATGAACAATGATTGACTGTCACACAACTCTGGTATAAGCTATCCACTGTAATTACTATAATGTATTTGTGACAGTGAATTTCACTCACTTAACTCTAGGTGGCTCTAAAGTCGCAAAAATTCACTAAATTACATACAGATGTTTTAAATTTACATTAAATGCAATAAGTTGAACTTAAGAGTGCTTTCTTGGCCCACTTCAGTGAGAATTAAGTACATCTACTCTATATGTAATTTTATAATTCCTTATATTGTCTTTGAAATATGGTTAATGTGTACTGCAGAATATTTATTGCAAACCTTAATATAATTTAATGTAATTTCTATTAAAACCTGCATGTATTGAAATATATTTGTAATTACACATACACATGATATAGTTTCAATTTAGTACATTTAAAATACATTACCTTTAAATACAATAGTAAATAACGCACTACAGATACTAAGTACTAACCTGTGATTTATCATGTTAAATACATCAAAATAAGTGTCTTTATTTTAAAGCATGGCATATTATTATTAAAACATAATGGTTTATAAATATACTTTAAAGTAAACATTTTAATTTGACATCATTGCAAAGTGCATTTTTAAAACTGATTTTTTTTTTTAAAACACAGTCTACATGAATACTTTCACACTGTAAAAAAAAAAAAAAAAAACACACACACAGATTAATTTGTCTTCTGTTTATCTTCCTTCTTTTATTAACATATTAAATCTTCCTGAGCTTAAATCTGAGTCACTGACTCTACCAGCAGCTGTTTGATTATGAGGTTCAGCATTATGAATCATCATATTATCAGTGTGAATGGCATTGCACACATTCCATGAATTTATCACTGTAACTTATGTTTTCTTATTGCATGTTTTTAAATACATTATTCTGGGCTGCATTTCCCAAAAACATCATAAGCCTAAGTTCATCATAGAACCATTGTCACCAATTGTTACAATGCTTTTGGGAAACGCAGCCGTGATTGATCAACTGCAGCAATTTTTTTTTTTTTACAATGATTGCAAAACTTCTCCAGGTTACATATGTAACCATGGTTCCCCGAAGGGAATGAGACGCTGTGTCGGAAAACACTATGGGAACGCCTTCAGCATGACCACGCTCTGAATCACATTTGTAATCAGTCCAATCGAAGGACGAGATGTCATAGGCAGGTGACGTAGCGACCAGGAAGCTATAAAAGCACGTGAGGTGGAACCAGCGTCAGCTTCTAGGAATGAAGCAAGCGCTCGCAGGGATGCCAGAAGTATGGCCCTGAGACGCAACGTCTCATTCCCTTCGGGGAACCATGGTTACATACGTAACCTGGAGACGTTCCCCTTCAGGAACTCGAGCTGCGTCAGAAAACGCTATGGGAACGAGTATGCCCACGCCGCCAGACTTGCAAATCCCTGTCTAGTGTGGAAGAGCACAGCTAGGACGAGAGAACAGAAGAGCCAGGAGGGGCTCGCATATCTAAGTCATAGAATCTGACAAACGTGAGGGTGTGGATGATCCCACTGCGTTGCAGATGTCCTGCATGGACACACCTGCCAAGAACACCTTGGAGACCGCCATACCTCGGGTTGAGTGAGCCCTGACCCCCAATGGCGAGGGGAGATCAGAGGACTCATAAGCAGTAGAAATGGCATCGACTATCCACCGGCTGAGGGTCTGTTTTGTAGCAGGAAGACCTCTCTTAGGGGGACCATAGCAAACAAGCAGTTAGTCCGCCTTTCTCCACTGGGCAGCTCTGTGGACATTTAAGCTTCTGTTGGTCAGGTTCTCTGAACGGAAGAGGACAGAAGGCCTGAAGTACAATAGGCTGTGGCATGACAGAAGGGACTGTAGGAACATAACCCGCTTGAAGGTAGAGAAAAGCCTTGGCCAAGCCAGGCACAAAGTCCAGGTAGGAAGGGGCCACAGAGAGGGCCTGCAGATCCCCAACTCTGTTTAAGCAAGATATACCCAGAAGAAACACCATTTTAATCAAGAGAAAGCGATCAGAAATAGCTTCAATAGGCTCGAAGGTAGGCTTACAGAGAGCTTCTAACACAAGAGCCAGGTCCCACATGGGGACGCGAGATCGTACCAGGGGCCTCAGCCTCAGCGCACCGCGGAGGAAACGTGTAACTAGGGGGTGTCTGCCCACTGACTGGCCACTGAGAGGGGCGTGGTAGGCCGCAATGGCCACCACGTAGACCTTCAGGGTGGAGTGGGTTAACCCTGTGGAGAAACGGGCCTGCAGGAACTCCAGCACTGTACCAACCGGGCAGTTAACTGGGTCGAGCTGGCGATATCCGCACCAAGAAGTGAACATTTTCCAGTTCAAGCCGTACAGTTTCCTCGTAGAGGGAGCTCTGGATTGCAGGATGATCTCAACAACCTCAGTTGAGAGACCGGAAGCTAAGAGTTGTACCCCCTCAGAGGCCACACCCATAACTTCCACAGCTCCGGGCGGGGGTAGAGAATCGTACCCTCCGCCTGAGAGAGGAGTACCCTCCGCCTGAGAGAGGAGATCCCTCCTCATGGGAATCTCCCATGGAGAGCCGTCGAGAAGGGAGATCAGGTCCGAGAACCATACTCGGCCCAGCCAGAACGGGGCTACTCAGATCGGGCTTCAACTTCAAAGCCCCCGACCTAGAGCGCCACTGAACTCGGTCCCGTTGCGGGGGAGCACGAGAAGTCTAACTCCTTTAGCATGTCGGCTTGGTACGCCTGTAACACCGCCATGGTGTGCAGACATGCACCAGCCTGACCTGCCGCCGTATAACCCTTGCCCACCAAGCTAGATGTTGTACGTAATGGCTTGGAGGGCAATGCTGGAGCCTTTAAGGATGATGCCGCACCAGGGGAAAGATAGCTTGTGAGCGTCTGTTCCACCTGGGGCATCGCCTTATAGGTCATTATATGGTCATTAACCACTGCCACAGAAAGCGTTCATCCAGCTTGCTTTTCTGCGGTTCAACCTGTTTCTCGGCAGGCCAATCGATATTTAACTTAGCCACGGCACAAGTAACCACCTCCAACAACTCCTCATACTGGGCTGAGAGAGGCGAATCCTCATTGACGCCCTCCACATCAACCTCCTTGGAGGAAGATAGGCGGCGCGTCGAGTCCGTTGCCCAGGGGGAAGAAACCGCAGATCTTCCGATCCCAGGACGGAGATAGGGACTCGCCCGTCGCCATTCCCTTCCGCCAAATCCAATTGCAAAGCCCACAAATGCAGCCGCCGCTCAGTCTCGGCTGAAGTGGGACCCGCACCGCGAGGAACGCTGGTGAAGGCTCCCTCCTCGAAGAGAGCCTTCCGGGAGCGAAGCGAGCACAATGACATTCGCTCACAATGCAGGTAGTTGGCCCCCTCAAGAGTCGACTCCATCCACATGCTTCTCCCCCAAGCAGACAACAGTGCTTTTATTGTACATCACCCACCTATGAGGTCTCACCCTTCCATTGGACTGATTACACATGTGATTCAGAACATGGTCACGCAGGAAGGCATTCCCATAGCGTTTTCCGACACAGCTCGAGTTCCTGAGGGGGAACTGCATATTTCACCATTCCCCATGACAAAATAACTGTGGATAAAAGACAACTTAAAATCGAGGAAGGCATTATATTTTTGCTTATTATGCTAACATTTATCATTCTATGTACACAAATGATCTTCTATCCATCAATTTTCCATACCACTTTTTTTCCTCTGCAGGGTCAATGGAGCTTATCCCAGCATCTCGGGTCACAAGTGGGGGACACTCTGAATGGATGGCTAGTCCATCAAAGGGCTCACACATATTCACACCTATGGGAAAGCCATGAAACCCATGTAGGCACAGGGAGAACATATGTATGCACACAGAAATTCTTCCTGGCTCAGCCAGGACTAACCCACCATAAAATGATTGCTATATAACTGACAAGCACTATAAGAAATTAGGTCAGATGAATTTAAAGAACTTAATAAGTTTTAAATGATTTTGACATCAAAGTGAGTTTCTGTTTCATCTGTTGTAAAATCATTACTCCACTGCATTAGTTTGAAACTGTTATGACCTACTACAATTATTAATCTCTAAATTTAACTTTAACTTGGCTTTTGGGATACATAAGTGTAGAAATGGCAGGCATTAAACCAGCTTAATGTCAGCAAGTTAGGGAGATTAAATACAGAAAACACTTTCTGATATCCATGATCTCTATGGGGAAAATACCACACAATGCATAAACAGGAACTAACAAACAGGATTGCAAATTAAGGGCTTGTTGACCAAAATCTGGTCCCGAATTAGCTATTGCCTTTGCTGAGTACTAGCTTAGG